CAACCAGAACGTCAACCAGAACGTCAACCAGAACGTCAACCAGAACGTCAATCAGATCGCCAGCCAACAAAATTCCAACTACAACAAGCAGGAGGAAGAGGATGAGAGTGACAATGAGAGTGAGAATACTAACCTCAGCGATAGCAAGGACCAAAGTGAAAGTGACGTTGGCAAGTTGAACGGCGGGGAAGATAGCACTGGACGGGGGCACGGCGGAGCCGTCCAGAACACTGTCGGCTCCGAGAAACTCGCTCAGTCTGGCGGAGGCTACAACGGTGGCGGCAGTGGCTCCGCGCACGGTACCGGCTCCGGCGTGTCCCAAAACAAAGCGACGTCTGGTGGAGCTCACAGTGGAGGCGGGGGCGGTGGCAGTGGCGGTGGCTCTGGATACGGTGGAGGCGTAAGCGGCCATGAGAACGATTCCTCGGACTCTGAACTTCAGGAGCAGTCCTCTGACTCTGAGTCCCAGCAAGATTCCTTGGAGTCTGATTCCCAGCAGGGCTTTTCGCAGACTCTATCCCAGCAAGATACCTCGGAGTCTCTTTCTCAGCAGGATACCTCGGCGTCTGGTATCCAAAAGGGAACCTCTAACTTGGGATGGCAGAAGCATTCCTCTAATTCAGGATATCAGAAAGATTCCTCTAACTCAGGACATGAGCAGCAGTACCCACCAGGACAAGGATCCGGATCCGGAAGCAGTTACGCGCCTAGTGGCCAGAACAAGTATGACAGCGACTAACTAGTGTAGTCCTCGTAAGTGCTCTCAATTCTTCCACGGCTGCAATCCTCATAAAGCCCTTCCGCTGACTGATATGTGCAGCAAATCGGATGGTACTTCTCACACGAGCTTAACCTGACAGATCACAAGAAGAACACGATGAGGTCTGATGGGGTCTGATGATCACGAAGAAACGAGCTTAATGATGTTGCGATTTGTTGCGTCTCTCCCTTATAGCACTCTCCCTATAGTCCATAGATTTAAGGCTGCAATTTCCACAATAACTTCCTGTTTCTTCCTACGACAGATCTTTCTCAACCTTACACTCACTGCAGTGTTAACATCAAGGGATCGTTCTGAAAATGTCAACATTGTCGCTGCACATGAATTCCCGAAATTTATCCGAGCATCGGCCGCACGCTCGTGCACAAGCTCGAGCTCACGTCCCCAAACATGCAGGCCGGGCATTCGTCTGCCTACTGCCTTACTGCTGATACACCACCACCTTCCACACACACAGAATGGCCATGAACTTCGCGCCCTACCAGTCCTCGCCGCCCGAATCCGAACGCGCCAAATCGCCTCCGCCTGTCCGCAGTCCACCATCCAGTCCAGGACCCCAATCGCGCCAACCGCGCACGACAATCGCCTCGGTTGCAGACCGCGAAGACCCCTGGGCAGCAGCTCGCGCACAGAAACTCCCTTCGCCCTCCCAATATCAAGACCTCTCGGACTCGGAGAATGAAGATGAATCGCAAGAAATCTCTCGCGCCAGTCGCAATCCATACTATAACGACTACATTGGTTCGCGAGCGCTCGAGGGAGGCGGTAATACGGCGTTAGGCGGCAGGGGAGGTCTCACGTCCATTTACGAGACCTCGTTAGGCTTGAACATTGCATTGGAATCCACGCTCGCCTATCTACTGCTTCCGCCAGCCGGTGGTGTGGTGCTGCTACTCTTTGAGCACAAGAGCGATTACGTCCGCTTTCACGCGTGGCAGAGCGCGTTAGTGTATGTTGCGACATCTGCATAATGTGTGGACTCATAGGACCGAGCTGACCCATATTCTTTGAACTACAGATTCTCAGCACTCTTTCTAGTGCACATCATCTTTTCGTGGACGGCGGTCATTAGCTGGCTGCTTTTCGTGTTTGACATTGTGCTGATAGGATACCTGGCCTACGGAGCCTGGAGATACGCCGAAACACTGGATCGCGTCGAAGTCCCGATCTTCGGCAGACTGGCGAGCAGTTTTGTGGATGATGAGTGAGGCACTCAGCATGCGCCATCGAACAACAGAAGTCGAGGAACGCTCTGAAAACCCGGCCTGCCACATCATGGCGCAACGCCCTCCAGCTCCGACTTATTATTGAGGACTCCTGCATTGAACAACGAGACTGATATTGACGTCAACGCCAACGAGAGCTGGCCAGTCCGGGCGTATTGCATCGATTTGGAATCTCAGCTGCCAACTGCAAATTGAGAAGGTCAGGATGTGGAGGTTTTCCTGGCATCTGGCATATGGCATGATTTTATCGACAAGGAGCAGACAAACTAAAGATAAGGCCTTCCGGCATACTTGCGAACCCACGACCGCATAGCCAATGCCGATGCATCCATCCTAGCGCTCCTCGTCACCCAAGCTGAACGCGTCGTTCACTCTCTCACGCTCGGCGAAGAACGCCGTTCCCAAATTGCGAGACATCACGGTTCCTACAGAATGCATCGAGGGAACAACGCCTCCGAGCATCCCGTCGACTTTGTCCATCTTTGATCACGTGGGCCACTTCACTCAGCGAGTGAAAGGAACATTTCAAAGGAGAATGGACTGGAGCTCCAATTCGTTCAGCACCTGTCTCGAAGCAACCTCATCCCGAACCATGTGATGATAAAGCACATACGGCGTCAGAAGATGGTGCTTCCCGACCGGTCTGACCTCCGACATTTGCCGATGGCTCTGCAGGATCAACTTATCGTACTTCTCTTGCTGTGGTGTTGGGAGCTTGTGTTGCAGTGAGGTCACCACTTTTGTCTCCCCCGACTTGAAATGATGGCCAGGGTACATATACCCGTCTACGTCGAGCTCCTTCAGAAGAGGCCGAAAGCTTTGTAGTGTTTCATCCAGACGATAGTCGTGTTTGTGCGCTTCGAGCACAATTGCTGCGTACTCGTTGAGGTAATTGAGACTGGATTCGGTGAAAGGGATCACACTCTTGTTGAAGCTTGAGTGAGATGCTTTGCCTCGCAAGTCACGCACGAGGCCGTCGATCTCCATGGCTCGCAACAAGATGTTGACGCCACCAAGCCACTCGGTGGACGGGTAGAAAATTGTCTGTGCGAGCAGCGTCCTGGCCAGCGGAGTATACGTCTCCTCCCTAGCCTTCATACCTTCGGCGGTCAGGTTTCCTCGAGCAGTGCCATTTGCGTAGCCATCAATTTTCAATTGGTCGAAGAGCGGAGTGAAATAAACAGGCCACGTTCCAAATTCTCGCCCTGGCATGCCTTCGGCGTACTCATCAAGAATGTTCGCGATCTTGGAGGCATAGTTGATATCCTTTGGCTGTTTTGGCTCCAGCCTTGTGCTGTTTGATGTCGAGGTGTCGTTGCCGCTCGGAGAAGCTGGAGCTGGAGGAGCATCGGCGGTGTGTGCGACCCAAGGCGCAAGTGCCGCTGAGATGCTGGCCTTGCTGCTTGCGTGGTGGTTCTTTTTCCATGTGTCAGGATTGACCAGCCAGCCGAAAATAATTTGTATGAGCTTCGCTATGAAATTGGTTCCGCCTCCTGAGGCTTGCATCTTGTTGTAGGAATGGCCGGCGGCCAACAGAGGACCAGTGCCGTCGCGCAAGCTGTCGGCCATTGCAACACAGACATGATGTGGCCACTGATTCTCGAGACAGTCGTTCAGAACAGCTCTGGATATCTCACCAGCACGCTCGCGCGTTGCAATGTTGTACGGCGCCTTAGGTTCAGACGATGACGAAGCCACATTCGCGTTTCCTACCCTCGTGCCGCCGGTCATCAGCCTTTCAGGAGGATGCATTCGAGATTCCTTACGGGAAGAAGGATGGAGCTGTCCTGAAGCGTGCTTCAATCTCTGCTTGATGAGCCTCAGGGTTTGCTTATGCCAATTTCGGTTCATCTTGATTCCCTCGGTGTTGATGGCATGGATGGACCCACAATTCGGGGCTGTAGAGTTACTGGGCCAGCCTTGTGGGAAGTAGAATGACCCATCGTCGCGTTCGCTGGATAGCAGCGGCTTCAGATCCTTGTACAAGTCTGCACACCCGGAGTCCTGGGTGAGTGGCGAGAGTTGACTGCTTGGATCCTTTTTGGCGCAACCGTTGCGATGCCAAATCAGAAGGCCGTCAAGCAGCGCTTGACGGTGTTCTTTCGATCCGATTATCCATGGTGCGGCCTTGGGTTCATTTGTCGTGTGAGGCTTTGATGTTGGACCAGGCAGGTGTACAGAGTTATTCGAGACGTGTGGTCCATGTCTGAAGACTGGGTGTGTGAAGGCGGGCGCTGGCAACCCACTCACGTATGGAATAGAGGCCGCGACGGCGATGGCGGCAGCGACAGCTTGGAAGTTGACCATGATAGCTGATTGCACCGCTCACTGCGCAGACTGGTGCGAGTGCGCTGCACGAGAGTGCTATCGGAGATGGTATGCCGCTGGCTCACGAACACCCCTTCGAGAGATAATGGAATGGCCAGATTGCGATAGGTAATGAAGAGAGTAGCGCAGGTGGGCTTCAAGACGCCTAAGCTGATATATATTAGGACGCCTGGCGTCTTGAACCGATTGACGGGAGACTTAGTTTTTCGTGCCCACAAGCTCCAGGGAGGGAAGCGAGTAGAAGACGGCACAAGCTCATTCTGTCCTGCGGTCTGCACATTACCCGGCTCGACACTGGCCACCGGAGCTGGCGGTCCATGGACGGCACACCGATACCGTGGTCGGCTTGCAAAGTTGGACCGAAAGGCAGGCTCGCCTCGGATCCGATGAGAGCCGGTTCAACGCGACAACATGGCGGATAGGACTGGCAGTCGCGATCCATCTGGATGGCAAAGAGCGACCAAAGAAGGGTCTGCGGCGTGCGTGAATTCAGTGGAGGAATTCACCGGAAAGCAAACTAGCGTGTTGTAGTGTCTAGCTCGGGCGGCGGCGACCATCGCGCCTGACGCAGATTCCTGAGGCAACGACTCACGGCTGAAGAGCACGAGCAGGTGCTCCACGCGAGAGAAGGAGCATCTGCCAGCTGAAGTAATTGCGGAGAGGGCGCCTGACGATAGCGATAGCCCAAACGCAGAACCGGTCGTCAATCGAGATATTTCTACAGGACACCAGGCGCGAGACCCCTTTGCCCGTGCAGCACTGCCTGCCAGTCCGCCTGACGTCGACCAGCTCAACCACAAGGGCACACACGGTATCTCGAAGATGGGGTTCGCGGCAACGATCTCACCGTGGTAGTAGCGGCGCTAGCGACGATGTTCATCCTGTCATTTGGTAATCACCAGGATCGCATATTTTCTGTCTCGAACCCATCATTGCTAACATAAAGTACTAGTTTCAGTCTTTTGCCTCTTTGCCATTGTCGGTCCCGAAATGGGGGAAAGCCTGCTCAGAGGCCACACCGAAGTCTTGGCCATGTTATGTGATGATGAGCACGAGGATAAGATGTACTTCTTTCATCTCATTCCGCCCGAAGATGACTATGACTAGTCAAGACGAGGCAAATACTGGGGTTGCGGCGGGCAAGACAATAGCGTCAGCAGACGGCCTGGGCTATGACAGACCAATGTGCTCTGTCGTTCCCCAGTTGTCGGAGCTGGACTTTGTCTGCATGGCTCCAAGGACAGTGCGTCGAGCATGACGGCATCCCATTGCCGCGAGAAAGGTTCCAGCTTTGAGAAGGAAAAATATGCCGCGCAGTTCTTAAGAGGACAAGGCGAGGAAAGAGGAAAGCAGCTGCGATTGATGCCAAGAATGCTGTGCTGGCTGGAGGAAGTGGCAGCTATTGTATGCCCTAGCACCACAGATTCATTATCCTACTTCATGCAAAGAGCAACTGATGGAGCCGCGTACGGTCATCCGTGCAGTAACCTATCAAACAGTGCTGGTCATTCATAAATAAATCCTACTCATCATCACTATCGTCAATAATGAATCCCGCCCGAACATTTCGCCTCGATACAGCAGGTTTCGCCAACACGACAGGATCCTGCTCCTCCTCGTCATCGTCACTATCTACAATCCTCGCAGACGACTTGTTCGCCGACACTTCTTTCAAGGGCAGATTTTTCTGCTTCTGCGGCGGACGATGAGACCTGTCCATTTCATCTTCCATGTCCGATGGTAGAGGAGAGGAGTCGTGATCATCAGAGAGCTCGATTGGCGAGGACTGCTTGGAGCGTTCCTGTCTGTTTCTTGGGGCCAGAGCCGATTCATCGTCGTCATCGCTCGATTCGACACCAAGAGGTGAGGATTTCCTGGACCGTCTCCGTGGCACTATTGCCTCTGCTGCGTCGTCGCTGCTTTGGTCCCCAGCATCGATCATGATTTGATCTTCATCGCCGCTGTCAACGAATTTGGAAGTCTTTTTCGCCTTCTTCGCCGCCTTCTTTGCCACTGTCTTAGCCGACTGCTTTGTTTTCTTTCCCTTTTGCATGTCATCGACCTGTCTCTCTGCTTCGTCCCCAGCATCGTCCATCTGTTTCAAAAGTGCGTTGCGGATGACGCCAGCAGTCTTCTGTCTTCTCTGCTCTTCCAGTCTGAAGAACTCCGCATCGGCTTCGGCATCACTCTCGTCGTCAGACTCCGTGATGAAGAGTTTTGATTTGATCTTTGCGTTCTTCTCCCGTTCCTTCTGATCTCGCGCTCTTCTCAAATCGTCAAGCTCTTCTTCAGTCCTTTCCACTGCATTCCTCTTTCTTCTCTTCGTAGGCTTCTCGTCATCGTCTTTGCGCTTCCGTTTCTCTTTTAGGTTTGGCGGGAACATTGCTTCATCGATGTCCCCACCACTGCCGCTAGCATCGGTGTCAGAGTCGTTATCGTTAAATGTGGCACCTCTTCTCCCGGCTGCCTTCGATCGAACAAGGTCTGCAGCAGTCTTGTCGTCCTCGAATGTCGGAGGATCGAACTCAGCTTTTTTGATTTGATTCAGTGCATCGTTGAGCTGCGAGGCTGAGAGTTCGGAAGGAATGATCCAGGCGGCTTCCGCATCGTCCGCAAGACCCAGTCGTTGGAACCCGAGGGTGGTCAGCAGAAGTCGGAGGTGCTTGTCCTTGAACAGAGCAGCCTTTCGCTCCTCATTGTCGGGCGTCGCAAAGATTGTGGGCGCTGCCTCTGGCTCGGGCGCATCGGCTGCAGCTTCCGCTCGATCCTCCAGACTAACCAGGCCCATGCGTGCTGCTTGATCGTCTTCCCAAGACTGTCGCTCATCTGCCGCATTTTGCAGCTGCTTCTTCACCCAGTCAAGATCTTCAGCCTTAGCCTGTTCGATCAGAAGAGATGTGGCAATAGCGATTCGTTGCTCCGCAGCCACAGACGGCTTGATCTCAAGCTCAGCTGGGGGTCGCGGTGGTCGTTTCTCAACCACCTGCTCGTAGCCGTTCTGCAGGTAGAACAGTGTGTTTGGAATTTTGCTGAAAAGCATCTCCACGATGCAAGCCTCCCGCCAACCTTGCCCAGTAGTCTCTCTATCTACCCATTTGATACATCGACGAAAGACCTGTTGCACGAGCTGCTCCCAATCTCTGTACCCTTCCATAGCCGAATCAAGTCCTTCTGGCCCTTTGATCAGCTTGTGGAAAAGGGCAAGGATATCAACTCGAAATAGCAGCACGGCCAGCTCATGCTTGAAAGCCAAGCGGTAGAAGTATCGATGAGCTCGCTTCAGCTGTACCGGCGTGAGGTCACGGTAGTATTGCGTGAAGGAGTTGAAGGTGTTGACGCAAGGCTGCGACAGGAATTTGGCCGAGTATTTCGCAAAGTCGAATTTCCTTTCCGACACTGTTCGGGCCACTTCGCGAGCATCTTCTGCCGCTTCTTCAGCGTCGTCGCCGGCTTCACCATTCGTCTGTTGCTGCTTCTTCTTTCTCGCTCTTCGTTTCGATCGGATCTGCATATCAACATTCTGCTTGCTGTACCGCTCAAGCATCCGGACGAAGACATGCACACATTCTGTAACAGCATCGAGGTAGGCGAATCCTTGATGCGTGTAACCACGGAGGATTTGCACGATTCGATCATGCGTCGACTCTTCATAGAAAATGCGGTTCTGAATATTTTCGGCGATCTCCTGATCCTCTTCATCCTTGCTTTCCGCCATGTTCTGCACGGTGAGCAATATCTGCGTGAAACAAAGAAGTGTAGCATGCAAATCCTGCCAACTCTTGTTATCGAATGCCTCCTGCATCTGCCTGTTGAGCAGGACAAAGGTCTCCTGATCAAGCACTGCCGCGATATAGGCGAACGTGTTGTCCTCTGGACCTACTTGTGTCGCGCGATCTGCGTTCCAGGAACCTTCTCTACGCGATTGATCCCGGCGGGCTGCTTCCGCATTGAGGAACCATGATATTAGGTAGAAGTACTGTTTGTTGTGCATGCTCTGTACTCGGTCTGCTTCGCGCTCAATGGCTTTCCGCAGTGAAGAGAACAGCGGGTTGAATGATGAGTCCAAGAAATCTCCAACAAACGCTCTCAAATGCTTCCGGGAGTTGTCTGACAGATCCACTCGCATGCCAAACTCCGAGTTCTCATCAAACTCTTGCGCGAGCTTGCCACGGTACAGTGGCTTGTCCCATTTCTTGCTCGCATCCATGTGTCGTAGCGTATCGGTCTCGTTCGTCATACTCGTCTGTCCTGACACTGTTGACAGCTTCTCATCCTCGCGCTTCACCCAGATCATGGTTCCAAATCGGTTGTGTCTGGTCGGAGCATGTCTCTTGTAGCTATCCAACATTGCCTTCTCTTTTTGCAGCAGGTTCTTGAGCTCTGTCGTCTCTTCGGTGTTTACCTGCTCTCTTTTCATGAATAATTTCCTCGCGTCAACACCTTTCAGGAGATGGAAAAGAACCTCCAACAGAATCACGTCTTGCTCTTGAAACTCATCTCCCGTTCCCGAGCCGACTGTCAGCAGCACATTGAATACGTCCTGCTCCTGGAAAGCCTCGATCGTGGCGGAGCGGCTGATGTCGTTTTCGTCTCCTTGCGAGGGGAGGTGTTGTGGTTGTGTGATCATAGCCATATTCCGGAAGAAGTACATCATTAGCTTGATGATGCCTTCGTCCCTCTTGCTCCTCTCCCTCCTCGTTGTGGCCATGGCTGGCAAGGCAGTCCGCACCACAGTCCTCAAGACCTTTGCATCCTCGAATTGTAGCACAGCCCTCTTGTAGCCCACCTGCGCGAGCTGCAAGTATGGAACATGCCGATGATGGTTGACTGTCGCTTTCTCCTCGTCCAACTGCAGCGGCCATGTCAAGGGCACCAGTAGTTCCAGACATGCCAGCGCCAACTTGGCCTTGTGCTTATTCTCCTGCGCATCTTCGGGCCACAGGGCAAGGATCTCCAACAGATCTCCCTTGACCAAGTTCGCCTCAGCCAGCACGCGCTTCACATCGTGTCGGTTGGTCTTCTCGTCGTATAATCGTAGCCATCGTTGCAAGTCCTTGAGCACGGCAACGGCATCGTCTCCCACGCTGTAGCTGTCGTCGTAAGTGGAGCGACCACCGACAGCGTTGACGAGCGAGGTGACATAGGCGCGCACCTCGACGTCGACCGTCGTGCTCTTTTCGAATGGGTCCATGTTGGCGTTCTACATTCTCTCTACGTGAAGCCAGCGCGAACGCGTTCTTGCCGGAGACGCGTCTGGCTCGCGCGTGCAGCAGGTGGAGCGGGGACGGATCGGGCCGAGCCGAGCTTGGCGCCAGTACTCCTGCCTCAGGCACAAGCCATGCTCTGCGACACTCTGCTCTGCTCTCACCATTCGGACATTTGCCTGCATTTGCTGGAACTGCATCTTCATCACATGCAACGTTGCATCTGACAGCTCGCGTGCTCGTGCACACAGTTGCATGGCGCTGCGCACTGCACTGCACACTCGCATTGTAGCCGACGATACTTTGATCCCTGGGCCCCTCGGCAATCGAGCTCTGCTAAGCCGAGAAGCTACATCACATTGTTTTGCACTTTACTCTCCCACGCTTTCATCAATCTCCTCTCGCCCTTCCGTTCGCGCCCATGATGATGCTGACGAGACGTCTCGCTCCCCACGTCTCGGCCAGGCTCGTATTGCCAACATGCCTCCACCGGCGCTCCTTGTCGCACACTCCCGCGGCGTTAGCTGAAGCGGCTACAGTAAACCGGCTCGGAGTGATAGGCAAGTCTCCCATGTCGTGAGCGACGAGAGAGGATCATAGACTAATGCCATGCAGGTGCTGGCCAGATGGTATGCCTGCCGCTCCGCCTATCATATCGACTGTAATGCAGCTGACTGATGATCAGCCGTGATTGTAGGGCCTGGGAATCGCTCTGGTGGCTGCCCGTGCTGCAGGCGTTCCCGTCACTCTCGTCGACAACTCCCAGAAATCCCTCGACAAGGGGCTTTCGTTTGCCGACAAGCTGCTCAGCAAAGATGTCTCCAAGCAGAAGCTATCCCAGGAGGATGCAGATGCTATACGAGGGCGTCTCACCGGCAGCACCAGCATGAACGACCTGAGCAACGTCGACATGGTCATCGAGGCCGTGCCTGAGATCGTCGACCTCAAAACCAAGATCTTTGCACAACTTGCCGCCACATGTCCCGCGCATGCCATCCTGGCCACTAACACGTCTTCCATTTCGATTACTCGGATCGCCGCTGCCACCACCACAGTACGTACACGTCACCCTACATTATCAGATGAACTTGCAGAATGCGAACCGCAGTACATGCACCGTCATGCTAAATACCTTTCCTCTGATAGGATCCCACCGACCTCAGCGCCTCTTCCCGCGTCGTGTCCACGCACTTTATGAATCCTGTCCCAGTGCAGAAGGGCGTTGAAATCATCTCGGGCCTCCAAACCTCCCCCGCCACGCTCGCCACCGCCATTGAGTTCTGCAAACGCATGGGCAAAATCCCTTCCATCTCTGCCGATTCTCCCGGCTTCCTCGCCAATCGCATCTTGATGCCGTACATCAATGAAGCTATTATTTGCCTTGAGACCGGTGTCGGAGACGAGGAGAGCATTGACAGCATCATGAAGAACGGGACTAACGTCCCCATGGGCCCACTGCAATTGGCGGACTTCATCGGTTTGGACACCTGTTTGGCAATCATGGAGGTATTGCATACGCAGCTTGGGGATAGCAAGTACCGACCGTCTGTCAGGCTAAGGCAGATGGTGGATGCGGGATGGCTGGGTAAGAAGAGTGGAAAAGGCTTCTACACATATTAGACGGGAAATGAAAATGTGCTCCATTCTCGACGTGTCAATAATTTCGTGGTCTCAGTATGTCAAATCTGGGTTTGTGTCTGGTGGCTCTACATGGCTGTTTGTGTGATAGATGCGGCTGTTGTGTTTGGGGCTTGCGGCTCTCTTCCACTAGCTTCTCAGTCTCCTCCCCCTCTGCATGTGTCTCGAGCAGACTTGAGTTGCTACCAGACCAGACACAAGCCATGTCAGTCCCTGTGTGCACAAGCACAGTCTGCCCCCAAGAGGGGGGCTTTCCTTGAGCTCTGGCTGTGCGCTCGAAATTCGCTGCCTGGCACTGGGCAGGTAAAGCCCTTTTGCATTGGAGGGCAGGTGACAATGCAATAGATCTATTTCAATGTTTGTTGGCACTCCGCGCGTGGAGAATATTGTTCAGCATCGAGGCGTGGCGGGAGTGTGAGGAGTGCCACCGTGCTGCGGACTTTGAGTTTCGGTGGACATGCCTGTTGGGTGCCCTGCTGAAGCGCTCGTGTCAATGCTCGAGCGCGTCTGCTGGTAGGCTGTCGATGCTGAAAGGTGTGCGGTAGTGCTGTCTTCGATCAAGCCCATACAGTCGAAGCTGGCCGCATGAGATCCATGGCTGCTCCGTTGCCCTTTGGTTTCATGCCGTCGCTAGTCACGTCCACGACGCGCATTGCAGACTTGATCGCGTCTCGGCGTGCAAACCAGGCACTGTGGCATGAGCTCCGATGTGACCAGCTGCTCGTCAATTGGCGACAGCGACATCGAGCGAGAGATAAACTTGCACCAGGTTGCGGACCGCGGCAGCGTTGACATCAACACGAATCACGTCCGATGACACCTAGAGTTGCGCAGCCGTCACCAATGCAGGCTCACTCTCAAGGCGTTGCGTGTCGGAGGGAACAAGGGGCGAGCTGAGGGTCAGAGGTCGCCTCTGAAGAATAAAAGCTGGGCTTCACAACTGTCGTCAAAGGTTTGCAAACTCTGCGCCCTGATCAGAGGGCCAGCTCGCGTCGTCATGCGTCGCTGCTGTCGTCTGCACGTTATCGAATTCATCGTCGACGAAAAAATCATCCTGGAAGCGGTTCTCGAAGCGAGTCGTGAGCTCCGCAGCCTTCCGGACATCAGTCAACGAAGGGACCTTCTTCACCGGAAGCTTGACAGCATCCTTCTGGCGTTGTACCATGAGCTTCATATAATACGTGCCGTCGACAGCGTGCTTGACAGGCCGCACAGCGGCAGACTGCCAGTCGACGTCGAAGCCTGGTAAGCTGGCTTCCTTAACATAGATCTTTTGCATCATGTCTCCGAGAGTGTTGACGCCCTCACAAAGCTCGTCATTGTCATGCGAGTCTTCGAACCAGAACATGACATCTCCTCTGCCCGTGCTGGGCGGAGGCTGAGTGAGCAACATTCTCTGCCACGATGGGATGAAGGTTCCGCTCCTTGTGGCCGGATCAGCGAATGCCACACTCCTGAGCTTCCATTCTCTCGTTGTGTCGAATAGGAGATCATTCAGGATGACGACTTGTTCTAAGAACTGCTTGCTACGTTGCGAGGTCGCGTCCAGAATGTTGTATCTCTCCGACTTGGAGGCATCCAGCAGTCCCAATTCCAGGATCTCGTCAAAAGAATTGGTCGGCAGCAGGAAGAGTTTCTTTTGCAGCATTTTGCTGTGCCGGATGATATAGTGCCATCTCCTATCGACGCGCTGGGAGAGTAGCAGGGTTTTGGTGTCCAAATTGAGCAAGATGAGCTCGAGTAATTCCCCAGTGTCGAGGGTGGCGGTCGCTGCTGCCATGTCTTCGGTGCAGCTGTCACGGTAGCTCAAATTTGTGCTTGCGATCTGCACGTGCGATTCGCCGGCTGACTGGATGCCAAGTGGCTGGCAATTCGTGTTTCTGACGCTCTTGCTTCAGCAGGATACCCGGAGAAGTCGCAGCGTCTCAGCACAGTCGGGAGGGCGCAAACACCATATCGCGCGGCCTGGAGCAGGGCGTGCGAAGAGGTGTAAGAGGATGTGGATGTGGTGAGCTGTCGTTCTCTGCTCCTCGTGATGTGGGCAGCATTGCGCTAGCGGGCAAGCGCAACAAGCGACGGTGGGTTGCAGTGTCTGTATGGCCTCTCAGCCTATGAGCTGCCGAGGTCATCGTCTGACCAAGCGCTCCGCAATTCTCTCAATGGACTTGGCCACGCCACGAGGCGATGCTTCGCCAGCCACGAGCGCAACACCCGCCTGGATGCGGTGCAGTTCGATGCATGCGCCGCGTGGTGCATGTGGTTGTTCACAGCTTTTGCAGCCTGTCATGTCTCGCGCAAAAGTGCTGACACCAACCAAACCCCCACGACACCCTTCTGCCTCTTGCGGGATCCACCTCTAATGCACCACCTGCTCATCGTGCAAGGAATCTGGTGGGCTGCGTAGCGTTTTCCTCCGATCGCAAGGCAGCAGGACCGACGCTGCCTGATTCGAGGTTGCAGAGGAGAGGAAGAGGGTGTCTTGTCCTGCGGACAGAAGTGTAAGCGAGGGCCAGCGCACAGGAAAAACCGGGAATACAAAATCGACCATCAGAATGCCAAAGCTACGCCGTGAAGGCTGTCATACTGTGCTCGGCACATGACGAAGAGTTGCTATCGCGACGTCTTCGCGTTCCAGGACGCCGTGCACGATGCGTGAGTGAATCACACGTTGCGGCCTGTGTGCTTGCATTGGCAGGAGTGAACGTGTCAACGAGGGCGATGTATCGGAGACAGCAACTCGCAAGCAAGCTGCCGTGAAGGCTGTTGGAGAGTTTTGACGAGCAACGAGGCAGCGGAGCGGAGCGAGGTAGCGGAGATGCAGCCAGCAGTCACGGTAGGTGATTTTGTCTTGGCGTGTCCTCCTCTCCTTCCTTCTGCCTAACCAACAACACTACACAACATCCATCTACCACACGCCACGTCTCTTGCTGAACGGCAAGACTGATGCGCAGAGTGGCTACATAACGTGCGCGAGCATAGCAAGCGGAAAACATATCGCAGACGCCACTTGCAACGAGAGATTTCTCCAACCGACTCACTGGCCGGGAATTATTAATAATGTTTCACAAGAAGCCTCACTCTGAAGAAATCAACCAGGAACACAACACGAGCGAGCACAATGCCGCCGACATCGCCATGCAAGCAGTACCTGGACTGTTCGCAGTTCCCAAGCAAGACAAGCAACACACGTTCGACTGGGGTCGTGATCAGCAATCTTATCATATCGTCGGATCTAGGAGATCAACGGGACCACATTCTGCGAGCTGACTACACCCCAGCTGAAGTTTGAACGACATTCCTTTGATTGCGCATGTCTCCCACGCACGCCACGTTGCTGACAACTAGGTTTGATCAACGTGTGACACCACGCGACAGGACTGGTCGAGCCGGGTATCGATCGTCTTGATCAGCAGAATCGAGAAAGTAAGCAGCAGGCTCCCGAAGAGCACTCATCGCACGGACGCTGCATGTTGGCTCGAGACATATGAACACGCCAGACTGAACTGGAACAAAAGAGTGAAATGAGAGAAGAAAGGCAACCTTTGTGCAAGATAAAGTGGCATTATCGCTGCGAAGAACCCATTTTATACCAACCATCACCCAAGCTTCGGGGGAATCATGCTACAGGGAAGAGACCCGCGAGTCTAACTTGAAAAACATCCCGCAATATCATCGTCAAATCATCTCAGCTTCAAAGAAGTCTCCATGTGCTTCTCATTCGCAACAGGTGAGTAGCCGAAGATGTTCTCAACCATCTCTCCACCACGCACCGCAAGAATGGAGAGGAGCGTATCAGAGAGACCATGTGTCTTCTCATTGCAACCTTGCAGCCAGACGCCAGCGCCTGGGTCGACAGCTCCCTCCTCGAACTCAACAGCGTAGTCACGCTTGACAGTCCAGTCGTTGTCCTCGGCGTCGCCGCCCCGCATGAGACCGCGGACTTCCTTCAGCATGTCCTTGTGCGAGTCACGCTTGTAACCGCTGGCCACGACGACCAGATCAACCTCCAATGTCTCGGTGCCAACATTCCTGTGGTGTTGGTACAGACCAGAGTTGTTCTGGATCTGCAGCTCGACGGCCGGCTTGCCATCGACCGTGATATCCCGCAGGCCAGTGACTTCCCGGTGGGGCTGGATTCTCTGTGGCCAGTCCTCTTCTGCGATACCCTTGAGGCGGTATGTGTACATTTCATTGTAAATGTGCTCAAGCAATTCGATTCGGACGACACCGTAGTTGGTCGCTTTGTCCATGGCCAGAGCATTTGCGCGAATGTGTGGATCCTGGGAGAAGACGTGGTCCACTCGGTCTGGGTTGAATACTTCGTTGACACTATGCCTAGTCAGTACGTGCAAACGAATTTCTCATAGTAGGACTTACAAAGGCGAGTCATCACTGGGCTTCAAGGCCGCACCTCGAATCAGTAGCACGGATTGCGTTCCTGGGAAACGTGTGGGCACATCATGCCAGCACTCAGCAGCACTCTGTCCGCCTCCAATAACGGCAATCCTCCTCGGTCTTGAGCCCTCTGCAAAGATCTTGTTGATATGTGTGGCATATTGCGAAGAGTGGATCACTCTCGGGTGGTTCTGTGGAAGCGATCGCGGGATGTTGGGTCGACCTCCCGCGGCAATGACGACATGCCTGGCCTTGAGCGACTGTCGTTCGCCAGTCTGGGTGTTTGTCGATTGCACGTTGAAGTACTCTACAGCGCCCGTCCTCGAATTCCGTGGGCCAGCAGTAACAGTGTCCACATTCTGGCTATAGTCGACGACGTTGTTGAAGTGCTCTGCACACCAACGCATGTAGTCTTCGTACTCTATCCGCTGAGGCAGGAATGTGTTCAGGTTGGTGAATGTCACTAACCGGTCGTTGCTGTGCAGGTAGTTCAAAAAAGTGAACTCGCTTCGCGGGTTTCGGAGAGTTGCCATATCCTTGAGGAAGGTGATTTGCATTTTCGCGCCTGGCAACAGCATACCAGCGTGCCATGCGAACTTGTGCTGCTTTTCCAGGAAGCGCACACGCGGAGCACGAGTCGATAGCCTAGTGTCGTTCAGCTCCAGGCTGTCGTGGAGAGCGACAGCAATTGCGAGAGACGCGGGGCCGAAACCACAGCACACGAGATCTTGCACTTCATCGTCGCCATATCGATGCAGATTCGATCGCTTGATGCCGTTGACCATGCTGAACATGTCGTCAGGCGAGGTGATGGCCGTTGAGTTCTCCGAGTGTGGAGAAGACGACATGTCGTCCAGCAGTGAATGTGGTGCCATAGTGGAAAGTGTCTTCGATTGTTTGAGTGGACCAGACAAACAAGTGTGATGCTGGTGGTTGATGACAGACAAGACAAGGAAGGATAAAAGATGGGTACGATGTGCCACAAAAAAAGGTACTTCAACTTGTCAAGGGAAAGAGTGCTCTCGCTTTCCTCTAGTAATAGATTGACTTTCTCCTCCCACGCCTATTCCAAAGCACGCAGCTCGGGGCTTGCTTCAGTATGGGGCCAAGGTAAGTTGCCAGGACCTTTCGGTTTACTAGCACGCCCGAAACCGGCAGGTACAAGAAAGAGCCGACGAAGGGATGAGTGAGGGCCGCAGTAGTAATGCTCAGCAGATCCGTGAGCTGAGATCGAGCGGACGTGGGCAGACACACGCAGCAACAAGCCCCCGTCGGTTCGTTCGTTTGTTTCGAACCAAACAAAAAAAGTCTATGGCGTAACTCGAGTGACATACATTTTGCCCACGCGGCGGGCGGAGATTCTCCGGATCAAGATGATCCTGTTCCCACAATACAATCTAATCTGATCATCTGTGCTGTCTTGTGTCGCCGAGCGCGCCCGAGGAAAACCAGCAGGAGGGGTGGAGGATGAGCGGATGGCGCAAAAGAAGGGACAAGTTTGCAAGGGAAAGGCCGTTTTCTGCCACCCTGCCTGCAAGCCCATTCCGTCAGCGCACGCCAGCCGTACAGTAGTGACTCCACGCCGTCTACGCACCGGCTTAATTTTTTTTTCTTTTCCTGTTGCATGAGCTCCAATCACGACTGGCCGTTCGTGACGTTGCGGCGCTTGCTTAGCGTCATTTGTCGCAGGCAGAACGCGCATGCAGGACGAGGATCTTCAGAGATGATGATGCATGCAGGGATCATTCAAGAGAACGGGGCGTTGTTCGTGTGCTGAGCGGGCTCCAGAGAGGCTGGCAAAAGTAGTAATCTCGGCTAAGCCCAATTTGGCAATTTCTCATCAGGAAACACAGTTCTCTACCCCTACCCTGAAGGCGTGACACGACGTGTATAGTCCTAAGACCTGCACAGTAGATAGAGGTTACTGTAGCGATCAAGTCCATATCGCTTTTGTGGCCTGCCGACGAGATTCAAAAATGGACCCACCACGATTGGGTGATAAATGACAATCAGTACTTTTGTCAACACCTTGGGCCCCTAAGCGAAGCGAGAAGGCTGGACTGGGTGGGCTGTGGTCGCGTTAGACTTATCTGATCCGAAGCCGTTCTGCGCTAACAGGATTTCTTGACATGGGTTTTGGAAGATCTAGACTGTGAGGGGAAATTTGCTCCGCTTCCTGGCAAGTCTTGGTCCGTAGTGACAATGATCATGAATTATGAACGATGGCAAAAACCCGCTATTGCAAGTGTAGCTCCTGTAGGAAACAACATTGTTGTCGTTTACCCAGCCATGCTGTAGTCAGTCTGCTCGGTGAAGTCCCGAGTCCATAGCTCCAGGTGAATCGTATGTTCTACCGGAAATAGCCGTCAAAGCGCCCTTAGCAAGGCTATCGAATATTCCGACTGAATGTCTCGCAGGTGCACAATATTGTGGATGCCATCCAAGTGCCGAGGTCGGGCGCTCATGTGGCTGTTGCCCTGCATCGTACGACCCAGAGCTATGTACCGCGTAATGCGACTGAGTGTCTCACGTGTACGATGTTTCGGACAAAGTAGCGATCGTAATGCATCCACGCACCACGGGCATCTCGCCTTGCTGATGAACCGGGAGAACTTCCATTGTGCGCTACTGTTTTCTAGGTCGACGATCCGGGAGAACCTCCATTGTGCGCTACTGTTTTCTAGACCATTCGCCAAGTGGGCGACATGTCGGATCAGATAAAAACTTTTTTCGTTGGTGCCAAACGCCAGACCCCATGCCTACAACCGAAAGAGTAGTGCGACACCAAAGTGGCCCCAAAGCCATGCTAAAATCTGCAGACTAGAGCTGCACATCAAACGAGAGCCTGTGTCTTGGCCATGGTAGCATACAGTCCACCTTGGCGCACGAGCTCCGCATGCGTACCCTGAGCTACGAGCTTCCCCTGGTCGAAAACGAATATCTGGTCGGCGTGCTGGATCGATGCCAATCGATGTGCGACGATGATTGTTGTGCGTCCTTTGGCGGCCTCGTTCAGGGATTCTTGTACATGTGCTTCGCTGTGAGCATCGAGCGCCGATGTAGGCTCATCAAGCAGGAGAACCTCTGGGTTGCGCACCAGTGCTCGCGCGATTGCCAGTCGTTGTTTCTGGCCTCCGCTTAGCCGAGAAGAGCTGCTCGATCCACACTCTGTGTTATAGCCATCTGGCAGACTAGTGATGAAGTCGTGGAGGCCGCACTTCTTGCACACGGCTTCCGCATCCCGATCTGTGATGGTGACGCCGGGAGGCGCTCCCAATTTGACGTTGTACGCGATCGATCCTGTGAAGAGGTCGGGTTCTTGAGATACCAATCCCATGCAGCTGCGTAATGTGCGAACGTCCATGTCTCGCACATCTTGGCCGTCGAACAGGAGCGCACCTTCCGTGACATCGTAGAAGCGCTCAATCAGAGCCATTGCAGAAGATTTGCCAGCTCCTGAGGGACCAACAAATGCAACGGTTTGTCCCGGGCTGATGGTGAAGTTGATGTCGCTCAGCGATGGTTTGGATGTGTTGGGATACATCAAGGTCACGTTCTTGAACTCGAGCTTCTGTGCGTATTTCTCGTTCGGCCCAAGCTCCATCGACTTGCTGGGACTGCTGTCCGAAAGCGATGGTGTCGTTGGGGACTTCAGGGCTGCATACTGAGCTTCTGTTCGCATAATACTTGGTTGACAGTCTAGCAGTGTGAATATGCTTCGAGATGCAGTCTTCGCGCGTGCAATTTCGGGACTGAGACTGAAGAAGTGACCAGCAGACTGCGCCGAGAACAGGAGAGCTGGGAGTACGATGAAGAAATCAGTCGTACTGTATGTGCCGTTCCTGACGTTGCGCGCTCCCCTAAGCTTATGGTTAGAAAGGTTAATGGAGGTTGGGCGAGACTGTACTTACCACCAGTATGCCAAAGCATAGACAAAGTAAGTAACCGAGAAGCAAAATGCGAGCAATGTGTTGGCATAGTACACGAAGTTCCGCAGCTTCTTGAAGGGTGTCATGAGGGAAGTACGATATTGGTCGATCAGATGTTGCTCGAGGCATAAGGCAGTCACGGCACGACGGTTGCGGCAGGCTTCCGCGGCGAGTGCTGTGGCATCTGTATATGCTTCCCTATGCTCATTCTCGGAAGCGGTGAGCAGGCGTAGTCGTGCCCAGCCTGCGATAAGCATCACAGGCACGGCAGCGAGGAGGACCAGTGCAATTTTCCAAGCAACAATGTGCGACAAAATGATGCCACCAATGACGGAGGTGAAGATGGTAAAGATTGCTCCGAGTGCCACACCACCCAAAGCAGAAAGGTCGCCTGGATCTTTTGTGAATTTCGACATGAGTTGCTGCACAGAATGGCCGGATTCGGAGAACCACTGCATGTCGAGGTGTAAGATATGCTTCAAGAGCCGCGTCTGCATCGAAGCAGTGATCCTGGACGACACTGCACCGAATATGCTGCCACTGGCCAAATACGATGTCAAGGCCACCAAAGCCAGTATGAAGAAGATGAGGCAGAATAGATCTGCCCGATCGTAGTAGTTGGGGTTGCTCGGGCCAGTGTTCAGCAATTCGATCAAGTTTCCAAAAACAACAGCTTGTCCCAGGAGAATGCCGCCGCTGACTATGCTGGCAATAATGCCAACCACGGCCAGCAAGCTGTCTTTCTTGGCGAGTCTTCCAATGCGCTTCGCAATGTTCCAAAGACTCATCTTCGCTTTAGCATCATCCGAATCAGTCTCTTCAGTAGCCTCTGACTCTGCAGACCCAACCAGATATGATGACCTGGTTCTGTGCAAGCCAAATGTGCTTTCCTCTACAGGAGATTCCTCGGCATCGCTGAAGTTCGTGTTCTGAGCATCCAGTAGGCCGCGGAAAACAGAGTCTTCACGCGAAGCGAGCTCGCGTGGCGCTCCTTGTTCGACGACTTGGCCATCACTGATGACTGCAACCGTGTCCGAGTCGAGTGTTGTTGACAGGCGGTGGGCGATCATGATGACAGTCACTCCAGTGGCGGCGACATTCTTTACAGCCTCCACGACTGCAACTTCGGACCTTGCATCGAGTGCAGCAGTCGGCTCATCCAGAATGAGAACAGAAGGTCGTTTGATCAAGGCTCGTGCTAAGCAGACTCTCTGCCGCTGACCACCAGAGAGCTGGATCTCGTTTCCAAGGCGAGTGTGGACGCCTTGAGGTAGCTTCTTCAGAAAATCCACGTTTGCGTCCCTGAGTGCCTGATCGCAACGCTTTGCTTTCTCCTCTTCGGTGACGTCTTGACCCAAAAGTCCGTAACAAACGTTCTCGAAGATGGTTCCAGAGAACAAGATGTTATCTTGATCCAGGACCGCAACTTGGGAACGCAAGTGCCCAGAGTCGATGGCTTTGAGGTCATTGCCAGCAATGTCAATGCGTCCAGAGTAGTCGTAGATGCGCAACAGCAAAGCCACTATCGTAGACTTTCCGCCACCGCTGGTGCCTACCAAAGAAGTGAACGTGCCCGCTTTAAAGAGTAAGTTCAAGCCCTTCAATATCTTTACGGTTGGTCTTGCGGGATACTGAAACTCAACTCCTCGGAATTCAATGTCGCAGCTTTCGAAGCTGGGCTTCACATCTGTCTTGCGATACGTGCCAGTGTTGTCGCTGGTATTGCTCTCGTCGAGAAGCTTCTGAATTGCTGCCTTGGCTGCCGCAGCACGTGCAAAGATCTCCAGGAACGGTGCAAACTGGCCGACCACAAAGGAGGCATCCAGGATCAGAAGTACGACGGCATATACAGTTCCCGCATTTCCTCCATCTGCTGACCGGCTGCCGAGGAAGAACGCCAGCGCGTTCGTGGAGAAAGCGATGAAATAGACCAGTGCTGCTTGCAATGCCGCAAGAACGGCCTTTTTGAGGTTTGCATGAGTCGCCTCCCCGACAAATTCGATGTGTCTCTGGCAAAGAGCTTCGATCATGTCAAAAGCTTGAACGATTCGGACGGCGCCAAGCGCGCTCTATATCATGTCAGCATGCATAAAGTTTAGGTGCAACGTGGTATCAACGCACCTCGACGATCCCGTTAGCTCGCTCGTTCTTCTCGTTGGTAGCCTTACTGCATTTCGAAACTGCAGGCGATAAGATAGCGAAGCTTAAAGTGACCGCGGGCACAACAGAGGCGAGGAGGATGCCTGTTAGTCTGGCATCCAACATGAAGCCGACGACAAAGGCAGCCACGAAATAGGATATCGCTTGGATGAAGATGCCCACTTTCTCCGAACATCCCGCTTGGATGGTATCCATCTTCTCGGTAAGCAGTCCATTGACGTCGATGTCGTGGGTGTCCAGATAGGCTTGGTCCAGGTGCAGTAGGCATTTCAGCAGCTGCTGTCGCAACTTGATACTGACATTCTCCGCAGTCAATCCAAAGCCGATGGTGTAGATTGTCGTGACTACGAAATAGCCGACCGCCACTCCGATTAATTGCACCAACCGATCGTAGAGAGCATCCTCGGCCGGTGGAAATTGGTTGATGATTTTGCCGAAAATGTAAGCGATGATGGGGAGTGGTATACCAGCGACAACAGCGAAGAAGGCACTTCCGATGGCAATAGCCTTGTGACTCTTCGCCTCCAGAGGGTCGTAAAGACTCAAGTATGAGTTCTCAAATGGGTTAAGACCCAGCAACTGAGCGTAGATCTTTTTGGAGAAGCCCACAGCCGGACTTTGATTTGCTGGAAATCGTGCATTTTCGAAGGGCGCTGCCTGCGTCTCCGGCAAAGGCTCTGAGGTGCCGACAGAGATGCTTCGCTCTTGAGATGCCGCACGGCTCTGACTTGCGTTCGATGCAGTACGAGAGCGACGCACATCCAAAGGCTCGTGGGGCGCGCCCTTTCCAACACTTTGCGGAGGACCCATGCTAACGAACGATGATTGTGGAAGGCTGAAAGTCGCAGGTCGACGCCCTCAGGTGGGGGGAGATAGTACGTGCCAGCACAAATCGATCACTCTCCTCCTCGTTGTGAATGTGCCATGCTTCGGGGTAGCACGACTCTGGTCCGAGCAAAGGCCCGCTGCAGGCTGTGCGATTCCGGTGCCACCTCGAGACTAGCAGTAGTGAAGACTCGTTAGTTGCGTGACTTTTCGTTAGCAGTCGGGCCTGTGTCCAGCAACGTGCACGACACTAAGATGGTCAAGGTAACCCTGGCATCACTGCACGCACACCGGAGGGAGATGAGGAAATGTGCTCCGGGTGTGCGCGACTACGACGGTACTGGTACTGGTACTGATCCATAATTTTCGACGCGGCCTCGAAAGAAGCACGTATGACCCAGTGGGCCTTTTGCGGAGGCAGGCTGAATGCATTCGGATTCGGCGCCTTCAGCGGCATAGGAGCTGCATGTCGCTACGATCTTCCAGGTGCAGTACCGCCTACAAGCCAAGCAGCGTAGTGGCTCGTAGGGGGACCTCTGACCTAACTTTTAAGTTATCAGATTATCAGATGGAGCAGGGGTGAGTGGCCACAAGGCTGTCGTTCGGCGGTACAGACCCATGCTCTGCTCGCCATGGCAGTACGAGTGCCGCGCTGCTACGGACTAGCAAGCACTGGGCAGACCACAGATGGTGAGGCTGGCGTGTGCAGTGAAGCCGGTATCGGCGCGTTCAGGTCGTGCCGGTGTGTGTCCCGTAATAAGTGATGATGATGATGAGTAGTAGCACCAGTAGGGCGAGCGCGTCGGCGATTGTTGCTTGTGGAGCAAGAGGAGCGCTGATCGCGGCGAGGTGTGGGTGTGCAAGCGAAAAGGTGACAAACGGCAGCCGCCAGCGTCATCCCGCGCAAGTACGACTGACTTTCGGCAGCAGCCACGGCCGTGCACGCGTGGGCAGGGATGTGGTCCGCGCTAGCAGTGTTGACGTGTTGAAGGCAGGTGCTAAGGCATATTCTCGCGGAAAGAGCAGACTGACATCCCAGGACGACGACGACGAGCGACGCTGAGAATGTCCATCGCGCCGACGCTGCAAACGCTGGCGGCCTTGCGCTGAGACCCTCCTCCCGTCCCATGACAGGCTCTCCCATCGCCATCGCCAGTGCAACCATGTGGCCAAGGCCCGGCCGGCGGATCGAACAACTTCATCTGTGTTGGACGCGGTGGTGCTGCATTCAATAGTGGCGACTCAATTTCTGCCCTCGTTCTTCCCACTGCCCTCTGCATAGCCATTCCCGTCATCACAGTCCCCGCCTCTCCACAACACCTCTCCAGCATGGCAACGAATCTTTCCATCAGCAACCCTTCGCCAAGGAAGCTGCCAGGCCCTCAACTTCTTCACAAGCTCATCTGCACTGCCGGAAAGGAAGGTGCGGTGGCCATCGAGCACACATTCGAAAATGGCACCCACACATCGTTGACCTACGACGACTTTCACAGCCGAGCTGATGGTCTGGCACGTCGTATCACATTAGCGATTCAACGCTCTACGACAAAACCAACAAGGACAGTTGTGCCTCTGCTCGTACCCCAATGTCCCGACCTGTACATATCACAACTGGCCATTCTCAAGGCAGGGGGCGCCTTTTGTCCCATCGTCCTGGACTCTCCAGAGGAGCGCCTTCGATTTATTCTCAAAGATGTCGAAGCAACAGTGTTGCTGACGACATCAAATTTCAAGCCCCAGTTACCATCATTAGAAGGCGTCGAGATTTTAGCTGTCGATGAGGAAAGCGCGATCGATCTGTCGGTGGAGTTGAGCTCTTCAGTCGAACCGGCAGATGCCTCCTACATCATGTACACCAGTGGCAGCACTGGACAGCCAAAGGGCGTGGTCCTATCACATTCCGCAGCGACTCAAGCCCTTCTGGCCCACGACAAGCACATCCCTCAATTTCGAAGGTTCTTGCAATTTGCAAGCCCCACCTTTGATGTTTCAGTCTTCGAAATCTTCTTCCCATGGCTTCGAGGGATGACACTGGTGAGTTGTGATCGAAGACGGCTATTGAACGATCTGCCCGGTGTCATCAACGATTTGCGCATCGATGCTTGCGAGCTGACTCCGTCGGTTGCGAGCAATCTGCTAAGGACTCGTGAAAATGTGCCCGGGTTGAAAGTACTCCTGACGATTGGCGAAATGTTGAAGCCATCCGTGGTCGAGAGCTTCGGTGGCGACGAATCCGAAGAGGCTATACTGCATGGCATGTACGGGCCCACAGAGGCTACGATACATTGCACTTTGCAGACGAATTTTGGCAAGAAAATGACTTGCAACAGCATCGGTATCCCTCTTGACACAGTTTCTGCGTTTGTCATTAGAGCGATCGATGGCGCATTGACAAGTACTCCAGAAATCTTGGCAATAGGAGAGGAGGGCGAACTTGCTGTTGGAGGCTATCAGCTTGCTGATGGGTATCTGAACCGAGATGAACAAACACAAAAAGCGTTTGTGCAACACCCCGAATATGGGACATTGTACAGAACAGGAGACCGAGCACGAATGCTTCCCAACGGAACATTCGAATGCCTCGGCCGAATTTCGAGCGGGCAAGTGAAGCTCCGAGGCCAGGTATGATTTACATCTCTTCGCAGCGAAGTCGATTCGTCACTGACTGTTCGCAGCGTATTGAGCTGGGAGAAATCGAGCATGCAGCAGCAAGGACGCCAGGATGCACCGACGTGGTCGCGGAAGTTGTCGCGAACACATTGGTTGTTTTCTGCGTGACTGAATCGAAGCAGCTGAGCAGAGACGCAGTGACCAGCGTCTGTCGCAAGTGGCTCCCAGAGTATATGGTACCTGGTGATGTTGTGCTAATGGAATCCTTCCCCTACCTGGCATCTGGAAAATGCGATCGCAAAGTTCTACGAGCACAATACGAAGAACGACAGGCGGCAGCCGTAGCGAAGGACGAGTCAGCTCAAAGTGAGGAAATGCAACAGGTGCTGGATTGCCTGAAAAATGTTCTTGGGACGCAGATTGTCTCTACCTCCTCCTTGGCGGCTTGTGGGCTGGACTCACTTTCCTCGATTCGTTTGGCTGCTGCTTTGCGAAAACAAGGCCTCGCACGGCTTGATGCTGGGCGTGTCCTCGCGGCGCGGACACCCGCCGACATCCTGGAAATCTCAAAGGAGCAGGATCTTACCAAAGATACCGGGAATTGGCGAGAAGATACCCAGAATAGCTATCGTGCACGTCTTGACAGTGCACTCAGCGCTGCAATCGACGCGGATGTGCAAGATGTCGAGACCTCTTTTCCTTGTACGCCACTCCAGGTCGCTATGCTTACTGAGACTGCGAAAAGTCCAAAGGCATACTGCAACTGGGTCAAATTCGCGTTGCCCAGCTGCTCGGACGTATCACTCCTTCGTCAGAGCCTAATGCAACTAGCCCAATCACACCAGCTCCTACGATCGGGCTTTATAGCGACGCCAAGCCTTCCTCAGAGCTATGCTACAGTCGTTTGGCGATCGTTGGCGGAGCATCAGATCGTGGAGTCAGAGGAGGCTCCTTCGCCTTTCGAACTTACCAGCGACTCCGACTTGCTCAGACCCATGAGCTTCCACATACGACATTCTCAAAATGAGTTCGAGCTTACGATCCAGATACATCACGCTCTGTACGATCAATGGTCAATGGACTTGCTTCAAAACGACCTGGCTGCGATTCTGGCTGGCTCCAGTCCTCTTGAATCTCGGTCATTTCAAGCGGTGGCCGACTACTACCTTCACGCAGAGACGTCCTCGTCACAAGCTTCTCTTGAGTTCTGGCAAGACCAACTTCGCAACGTTTCGCCGACATCATTGCCTCTGCTCAGAGGCACACATGCTACCAATGCCCTCCAGCGTACCTCATGGCAGACAACCTCACTTCAAAGCGTCGAGGTCAGAAAGCGATCGCAAGAACTGGGATGCAGCGCACCTGCAATTTTCCAGACAGCCATGAGTCTCATCTTGGGCGCCTACTCTGGGGTGTCTGATGTGGTCCTTGGCTCCGTCTTCTCTGGTCGCACGCTGCCAATCGACGACATCGACAATGTCTTTGGCCCTTGTCTTGCAACTCTTCCTCTTCGGATCGATAGCAAGGCGGCGAGAACTTGCAAAGATCTCCTAGGCACAGTCACTGATCGCAATCGTCAAATTCAAAAACACCTCCTCACCACGCCGACTGCGATCCGCGAGGCAGCCGGCGTGGCTCCTGGAGTGGGTCTATTTGACAGTCTCTTCGTCTGGCAGGAGACCACATTGGCCTCTCAAAGCACGGGAGAACACGTAGTAGAGCTTGACTCTGAAGACCAGCTCGAATTCGATCTCGTCCTCGAGATTGACCCCACGCCAACTGCCTTGCGGATTCGTGCAACATATCAGCAGCGTCTGTTGAGCACGGAACAAGTGGACATGCTCATCCAGCAGATCGAAAGTGTCGCGAAGCAACTGCTGACCGACGCAGAAGGCATGGTCGAACAGCTCTACGGCAAGTTGAACGACGAGCTGCTCTCGATCTTCAACCCTAAACCCAAGTGCTTCGCCACAACTTTCGAGCTGACGGAGGAGATCTCACGTAGAGCGTCTCTTGACCCCGCAAGGAGTGCAGTCAGATTTGCAACAAGAATCGACGATCAATCCATCGACTCTGTATTCTTCTCCTATCAAGAATTGGACGAGCGTGCAAATCGCATGGCTCACGAGCTCATCGCAGCTGGTCTGCAGCCTAAGGGCCTTGTGTGTATTTGCATGGAGAAGTGTATCGATCTATACGTGGCCATGCTCGCGAGTTTCAAGGCGGGTGCTGGTTATCTGCCACTTGTTCCGGAAACTCCAGCCGCTCGCGTCAAGTCGATCCTCAAGCAAGCCAATGTAAACTTGTGCGTTTGCGACGCTCAAACCACTCCCAGCTTCCGCTCGATGACGGATGCCACAACATTGGACGTCTCGGGCATGAACTTGGCGACGCGACCGAACAACGCACCAGATGTCAGCCAGATCGGCTCCCGCATCGCTTACATGGTCTTCACCAGCGGAAGCACTGGCGAGCCCAAAGGCGTTGCCGTCACTATGGACAACCTGAAGGGTAACATTGCTGTCCTTGCGGAGCTATACAAAGTTGCGCCGGGTGACCGCCTGTTGCAGTCTTGCTCGCAAGCATTCGATGTTTCCGTTTTCGAGATCTTCTTCACCTTCTTTACAGGCATGTGCTTGTGCTCTGCGACAAAAGACGTTCTGTTTAGGGACTTCGAGCAAAGCATTCGAGCCTTTGAGATCACACATCTGTCTCTGACTCCGACCGTCGCAGCTCTAGCGAAGCCAGAAAACGTTCCCAGCGTCAAGTTCCTCGTCACAGCTGGTGAAGGCATTACTGAGAAAGTGCATCGCACGTGGGCAGGCCGTGGACTCAATCAAGGATATGGACCGTCTGAGACCACCAACATTTGCTCAGTACATATGCATGTGTCACCAAATGATGTACTGGGCAACATTGGCCCAGCTTTCAAAAACACATCAGCGTTTGTGCTTGCCCCCGAAGGCGAGTTCCAAATACTGCCCACTGGCGCCTACGGAGAGTTCGTATTCGGCGGAGAGCAGGTTTTCCGAGGATACGTTGGCAGAGAGGACTTGAACGCCACCAAGATCCTGAACCATCCGCAGTACAGTCGTCTCTACAGAAGTGGTGACATGGGCCGGATACTGCCTGACGGCACTCTGCTGATCTCCGGCCGACTGGACGACCAGGTCAAGATTAGAGGCAATCGCGTTGAGTTGGGAGAGATCAATGCAGTTGTCTCTAACCATCCGGAGGTGTCCGACTGCGCCACTATTGTCATTGGTGATAGCAGTTCGAACCAGATGTTGGCCACCTTCTGGGTTCCCAAGGCGGCCAGCACTGAACACGAATTCTGCGTCTATGGTCCAGGAACCGAACTTGTATCGTCTTTGTACGATCTTCTGGAAGATGCTTTGCCGGCGTACATGACACCAAGCGTGCTCGTGCCAGTTTCAAAACTGCCTATGACCTCCCAGGGCAAACTTGACAAGAGACTGCTACAATCCACCTACGGAAACCTTGACCAGACAACCAGGAATGGTGTTTCGCGTTCATACGAAATTGGAGCTCACGACTCTCCCTCGACGCCAGTCGAGCAACATATGGCCGAAGCAGTCGCCCAAACACTAGGCATGCCAGTTGAGAGCGTATCGAGAAATGCTTCTTTCTTTGCGCTTGGGTTGAACTCACTCAACGCGATTCAACTTGCAAGAGCTTTACAGAAGACTTCTGGCTTGAATGTGAATGTCAGCACTGTCTTGCGCCATTCAAGCATAGCGCGGCTTTCAAGGTCTATCTCTGGCACAGAGGAGCTGACCTCCGGACACGAGGACCTTGACACAACTCAAATCTTGGACGAAAGTCTCATTGAAAAGATCAAATCTGCATTGCCGATGAGCGATCTAGCTGTCGACGCGGTCTTCCCATGCACCCCACTCCAAGAGGCGATGCTGTCGACGACAGGTGGTGACAACGCGGATGCATACTGCAACACCATGAAGATCAATTTCGAGGGCGACATGGCAAAGCTCAAAAGTTGTTGGAACACAATGCTGCAGAGGCATGCGATTCTTCGCACATCTTTTGTCGAGACAACGCTGTCCTCGAACCCATTCGTCCAAGTTGTGCTCAAAGAGCCGCTGCCTACATGGACTACCGAAGACCAACCAATATCAAATGGCACCTCGAATCACACCAACGGACATGCCAACGGACATGCCAACGGGCATGCCAACGGCCATAAACGTAGCGATTCCCCACTGGACGTGAGGCCTCAGGAGCCAAAGTTGCCTGGGGTCACACCTGATCGACCTGTTCAAGTTGTGCAAAGTGGCCACGACATCTACCTACAGATGCATCATGCTGTTTATGATGGCATCGCAGTCAACAATCTCTTCTCCGAGTTGATCAGCTTGTACAAGGAGGAAACACTGCCTAGTTCTGTTTCCTTTGAGCCTTTCCTCGCGGAAGTCGTTCGCCAGAACAAGCAGGATGCTCTTGATTTCTGGTCTTCTCGCATCAAGTCGTTCCGGCCGCATCCTCTCCCACCTTTGGAAGAAGCTGCTGCGGCCGGCGAGCAGGTCTTCGATATGCTAATGGGAGTATCGCCTGCAGATGTTGGTGCATTCAGTGAAAGACATTCATGCACTAGTCTCAGCATTTTCCAGGCGGCTCTGGCGAAGGCGATCGCTTGCGCTCAAAATATCACGGATCTTTGCTTCGGAAACGTCGTCAGCGGGCGATCGGTTTCGGTGCCTGACGTGGAGCGCCTTATCGCACCATGCTTCAACACGATTCCCGTCCGTGTTGAACTGGACGGCTTGCGAACCAATCTTGATCTCGTTCAAAGTCTCCAGAAGAATAATCTGGAGTCCCTCTCATACCAATTGACTGCACTTCGTCGCATTCAGGGCTTGAGTCAGGATCCATCGAAGCATCTGTTCGATACTCTCCTCTTGTTGCAGCCTCCTGCTGTCGGAGACGACTCGTGGGATATTGAAGAGGATGAAGACATGGGGATGGGCATCCCGCTTGTCATCGAAGTCGTTCCCCATGGCGATGATCATGCTTTGCTGGTCCACTATATGCCCGCCAAGATCAGTCAGCCGACAGCCACATCGTTTGCCAAGGCTTTCGTCTCAGCTGTGAAGGCCTGCCTGAGGTACACCTCTGGCAGTATTACCGAGCTAGGAGAAGAGTCTGTCGAGAATCTAGCAGGCAAGCTCGCGCCGTTACCTGTCTCTGTTGCGGAAAATGCGGCGACCAACGGTGCCACAGACTTGTGGACGGATGAGGAGACCATGGTTCGAGAAATCTACGCAGAGCTTGCCGGAATTCGTACAGATCAAATCTCGAAGCAGACTTCGCTGTATCAGATTGGACTGGACAGTTTGAATGCAGTTCAAGTCGCCTCACAGCTTCGGAAGCGAGGCGTGAAGATCGATGCGGCCGACGTGATGCAGCTGCAAACACCAGCTGCCCTGGCAAAATTGATCGGCTCCAAACAAGACGTCGAAGAAGATGTTTCGACTGATTCAGTCGACTTCGATGCATTTGCGGCTAAACACATGCAACGAGTGCTGGAGACCTTTTCAGTCCAAGAAGATGCGATTGAAGCCATACGACCATGCACATCAGCTCAAAGTGGCATGCTTGCTCAGTTTGTGCAGTCGGGCGGCAATTACTACTTCAGTCAAAGTATTTACGAAGTGCCAGACGACGTCGACTTTGAGCAGATTCAATCAGCCTGGGCAGCAGTGCAAAAGAAGCATCAGGTGTTGAGGATGGGATTCTTCGAGACCGAGGATGCATCCACACCATTTGCAATGTTGATCTACAAGTCGAGCTCGATTCCCTTGCAAACGGTATCTCAAGCTGGCGAGAGCTCACCGGAGGAGCTGTCTCAAAGCATGCGGTCGGCCGTCCTCAATGACTTGCAGCTTCCTCCTTGGCGAGCTGTCGTACAAAATACTGGAGAATCGCGTCGCATGGTCGTATCGCTACATCATGCACTTTACGACGCCGACGCTCTCGAGCTCATCCTGTCTGACTTGGCGCAAGCTTTGCGAGGAGAAAACCTTGGACAACCTCGCAGCATCGACGCTGTATTGAAGATGCAGTTGAATGGCGCAACGGAAAGGAAGAACGCCAGTGAGCAGTTCTGGAGTAAATCACTCGAAGCCGCGCATCTCGTCAAGTTTCCAAACATCACACCAACAGTGGTTAAGCAAAGCAAAGCCCGATCGACCGAGTTCAGCTCCCAAGTGTCCATCTCCACTCTCGAGACCTTCTGCAGGGCGAATGGCGTAACTATACAAGCTGTTGGACAGACTGTCTGGGCACAAATGCTTGCAGCGTATCTCGGAGAGCCAGCTGTGACATTTGGCACAGTCTTCTCTGGGCTCTCGTCGTCTGCAACGAAGGGCGTTGCATTTCCAAGTATCTCAACATTGCCTGTCCACTGCGACACAAAACAGGCAGTCCTCGACGTAGTCCAAGCCATGGTCACCTACAACTCGTCAGCTCAGCGGCATCGCTTTACACCCCTGTCTGACATTCAGCGATTCGCGGGAAGTCCAGGCCAAGCGCTATTTGATACCATTTTTGTGTACCAGAGGAGCAACACCGACGAGGACGAGCGCTTAAGCTGGACTGCAGTCAGTGACAGCTTGGGCATCGACTATACCGTGTCGATGGAGATGCAGGTTGATGGCAAGGATGGATTACAACTGCGCTTGACGTACGATGTCGCGATGGTGCCGGAAGACCACGCTGCGCTGATACTGAGACAATTCGACATGCTGCTGCAGTCCATGATCGGCAACGACCCGCATGATCTGGCAAGCGCTGATCTGATGTCTATCGTTGCGCCAAAGGACGCCGTTATTCCCGGCGAAGTAACATTACTGCATCAATTCCTGGAGCGAGGCGCCGTGGAGCACCCAGACAAGGTTGCACTTGAGTTCATATACAGCCTGGAGGACCAGCCTAAGAGCAGGAAGACATGGACTTACCGGGAGCTGGACGAGCGTGCAAACCAAGTGGCACATTTAATCCGAAAGCATTCTGTTCAGCCAGGCAGTATTGTCAGCGTCTGCATGAGCAAATCTCCCGAGGCGACATTTGCGTTTATCGGTATCTTGAAAGCAGGATGCGCTTTCCTTGCGATGGACCCAGACTTACCTCTTGCAAGGCGCAAGTTCATCGCCGAGGACTCTGCTTCTCAACTTTTGTTCGTGGACGCCGGCAAGACCGATGCAGAGATGGCTGGCGCAGTCCGCAACGTGGAGTTGACAGAGGACTCTTTAACGAGCCTACCCGTCACTGCACCTTCAATTGGTCTCATCGACCCAACCTCGACGAGCTATTGCCTCTACACTAGTGGCACTACGGGCGCACCAAAGGGTTGTGAGATCACACACGAAAATGCTGTGCAGGCTATGCTTTCGTTTCAAAGACTATTTGCTGACCACTGGACGTCTTCATCGAGATGGTTGCAATTTGCGAGCTACTGGTTCGACGTCTCCGTTCTCGAACACTTCTGGAGCTGGAGTGTAGGCATCACCATGGTCGGTGCTCCTCGCGACCTGGTCCTTGAAGATCTGCCAGGCTTCATTACCGCAGCCAATATCACGCACATCGATCTCACGCCGTCTCTTGCTCGCCTTCTCAAACCAGAAGAAGTGCCAAGCCTGCACAACCACGTCTTCATTACGGGCGGCGAAGCACTCAAACAAGAGATCATTGATGCTTGGGGTCCATACCATACGATCTACAATGGCTATGGTCCGACTGAAGCAACCATCGGCTGCACCATGAATGTTCACATCGGTCCAGAAGCCAAGCCATCCAACATCGGATCTGCATTCGACAATGTTGGCGCATTCGTTCTCGCTCCGGAGACCGATCAGCCCGTAATGCGCGGTGCAGTCGGCGAACTTTGCGTCTCAGGCAAGCTTGTAGGCAAAGGCTACCTGAACAGGCCGGATCTCACCGCGAAGGCATTCCCATACCTTGAACGTCTGGGCGAGCGCGTATACAGAACCGGAGATCTGGTCCGGCTCCTCGCAGATGACTCCTTCTCGTTCACTGGCCGCAAAGACACACAAGCCAAGCTGAGAGGACAGAGACTTGAGATCGACGAAATCGACGCTGTTATTAAAGGCGCACACGCTGGCATATCAGATGTCGCCTCGCTTGTGGTGAAGGGTGACCGAGAGATGCTCGTCTCCTTCATCATTGACAGCGAAGCTCGAAGTCGAGATCTGCATATTGCACAATCCGGACAAGCGACCGAGATTGTGGCTGCAGCAGACCAAGCTTGTCGCGATCGATTGCCAGGGTACATGGTGCCCACGCACATCATACCGCTCTCTCGCCTTCCTCTGACTGTGAACAACAAAGTTGACGCCAAGAGTCTAGTGGCTCTCTTCTCATCGCTTTCGACTCAAGAGCTCCAGAAACTGAAAGGAAGTCAGGGAACAGATCGTCCTCTGCGATCGAGTGAGCGCAAGATCGCAAAGGCTCTCAGCCGATTGCTCTCAATCGATACCAAGGACATCAGCGCGTCGTCGAATGTCTTCTCTCTTGGTCTGTCTTCGGTCTCTGCCATCAACTTGGCTACACTGCTGAAGCGTAGTGGCTTCGAGAATGCCAGCGTTGCTACCATAATGAGCAACCCCACAGTCAGTGGTCTGGCCACGGCAATCTCGAGCCAGGACAGCAAGAACCAATTGGAGAAGAATGCGGTGAGGCAGGCACAACTGAGCATTTCTGCATTCACTCAGCGGCACCGCAGCCTTGCAGCCCAGACACTGTCCGTCAACGTGTCGAATATCGAATCTGTCGCACCTTGCACGCCTCTGCAGGAGGGTTTGCTTGCTGACTCATTGAAGGGCTCGCAGAAGCCTTATTTCAATGCTTTCCACTATCGACTGTCTGAGGTCGACCTAGATCGATTGCATGAGGCTCTTTCATATCTGCAGTCAGAAATCCCCATCTTGCGCACCTCTTTCATTCGGACAGAAGAGGGCTTTGCCCAGGTCGTTCTGCGCGAGGCCGATCTTCCCATACATACTCAGGAAGTGGAAGATGGGAGCAAGATGCAGCCAACTTTGGCGGAAGCGAAAGCGAAATGGGAAGCACTCGCGGACCACGAGGTCAGCAGACCTTTTGACATGGTTCTCGTCCGCTCGCCTTCGGAAACCATACTGGCTTTCTATGCACACCATGCTTTATACGACGGAATCTCTTGGGATTTGATGATCAGTAAACTCGAGCAGAGTTATGCTACCCAGCTGGGCGTTGACTTCGGGCCGAGCTTCATCGAAGCTCTGCCATACGGTCCATTGTGTAAACGCAACGATGCAAAGGACTTCTGGGAGCAACGTATGAAGGGCTTTCACTTCACACCACTCGTACAAAACGTACCAGATTCGACTTCGGATGGAGTCAAGGCCACTAAAACATTGGCATCGACGTCGTCAATTGAAAAGATCAGGAAGGGTCTAGGCGTGTCTCACCAAGCGGTCTTCCAGGCAGCGTTCTCCGTTGCTATACATCAATTTGCGCCGCAGACTCAGACTTACGGCGTCGTGGCTTCCGGCAGGTCGATCGACTTCGAAGATGCGGACGCCATCATCGGACCCATGTTCAATACGTTGCCCTATGGTATCGATGTCGACCCCACAGACAATTGGTCGAAACTGCTGCAGCGGTGCCATCAGTCAAACACTACAGTGCTACCGTACCAACACACTTCTCTGCGTGAGGTTCGCAAGCTCTGTCGCCGCCATCCGAGCGATCCGATTTTCGATGTGCTTTTCGTTTACCAACGTCCGGAAGATGAGACGGACAACCAAGCGGATCACATCTTGCATCTGCTGCCATCATCTACGCCAGCCGAATATCCTCTCGCCTTTGACATCGACCACTATTCTTCAGGAACTGCTGAAGTTACTGTGGCGACGCAGGCTGGAGTCGCCAGAAACGACGCATTGGCAGAGCTCCTTGACAAATTCGAAGTAGCTTTGCAGTGCATGGCCGACAATATTGAAGGAAGCATTTCAGACAAGTTCACCATCTCCCGGAGCAGTACTAGTGCCACACCGGCTCAACAACAGGACCTTTCTGCTCAAGTCAACGGAACTTCCGACTTTGAGTGGACAGCAGACGCTACTCAGCTACGAGAGATCATCGCGGAGGTTGCTGGCTGTACTCCTGAAGATGTCACAGAGCATGTCACAATTTTCACCCTTGGCCTGGACAGTATCGACGCAGTCAAGCTTGCGGCACGCATGAAAAAGGCTGGGATTCCAGTACCTGTCAGCAAGATCCTGAGTGCTCAGACAATTCCAAAGATCCTGGGCAATCTCCAGAGTACTGTCAACGCGAACGAGAAATCCAATGTTGCGAGCAAGTTCTCCAAGTTGGAAGGACAGCTCCAAGCGATCTTTCAACAGGTTCAGACCCAGACGACACAAGAGATCGAACGCATCATCCCGGCCGCCCCAGGTCAGGAAGCACTGATTGCAGAAATGATCCGCTCAGACTTTCAAGAGTACTTCAACTCTGATGTCCTGCACTTGTCGCAAGATACAGACATTGAGCGGTTGAAGAAATCATGGCAGCAAGTGTATGACGCTTCGCCCATCCTCCGGACTGCATTTGTCGACGTTTCTGATCCCGATATCGATGCCACTTTTGCTCAAGTCGTCCTCAAAACTTCTTCTCTTCACTTCGACCAGATCGAGGTAAGCAGCCTGGATGACCTCAACGACTATTTCGAGGCTGTCAAAGTGGACGTCCGCCAGTCCTTCTCAAAGGCGTCGCCACTCCGTCTGGCGATTGTCACAATCGAGCTCGAGCAGTACCTGGTACTCTCCTTGTCTCACGCACAATATGATGGACACAGTATTGGCTTGCTGCATGCCGACATCACTGCAGCTTATAATGGAGCCTTGGAGCAGCGCCCAAGCTACGATGAAGCCATTGAGCAAGCTCTGGGTGCCACTAGTGACGAGTCCCTCGCGTTCTGGCGACACAACCTCGCAGGTGCCAAATTGTCCAGATTCAGCAACACTATGGCCATTCAGACTCCGACAACACATCGGGCCGAAAGGAATGCCACGCTTACCAGCATTGAAGCGCGCAAACTATGTTCGAGCTTGGGCGTGTCTCTACAATCGCTCGCCCAGACATCCTGGGCGCTGCTGCTCGCCACATATCTGGAAGACATTGATGTGATCTACGGCGTCGTGCTGGCCTGTCGCGATAGCGAAGAAGCAGAGCAAGTACTTTTCCCGACCATGAACACTGTTCCGGCGAGAGTGACACTCCATGGATCTGCCTCTCAAATGCTGCGCGATGTGCAAGACAATATCAATGCAATGAGACAGCACCAGAGGACGCCTTTGCGACACATCCAGGCTGCCTGTGCCGACCTGCTCCAATCAAGCAAATCCCGACCACAGCAAGGGCTGTTCGATACTTTGTTCATGTATCAAAGCAGAGGTGAGATGAACGACGAAGCAACAGACGCGCTGTACGAATCTGCTATTGCCGATGCCAATGTCGAATATCCTGTCGCTGTCGAGGCAGAGGCTGTCGGCGACAAACTTGTGCTCCGAGCTGCTTGCAAGTCTTCTGTTTTGGATGCCGAGGGAACGCAATTGCTGCTAGAGCGCTTCGATACAGTATTGAGCTTCCTGGCATCCGACCAAGACCGGCCCACTGTGGACTTCTCTGGCAACGATGTCAGCATCTGCGGACTGCCCTCGTTCACGCTGCGCTCTGAAGCACTTTCCAGACAGACCACTCGCGAGCAATACATCATCGACGACTCCGACGAGGAATCCGAGGACGATCTCGCAGTGATCGATGCCATCCGATCAGCTCTTGCTCAAGTGTCGAAGATGCCAATGGAAGACGTTCCGTCGCATGCCACAATCCAGTCAATCGGCATCGATTCCATCTCAGCTATCAAGGTAGCTTCGCTACTACGCAAGCAATCGATCAAATTGTCTGTGAGCGACCTCGTTAGAGCGCAGACACCAAAGGCAATGGCACAACTCGTAGGCCAAAAAGAACCTGCTGCCAATCACGCAGAGGCTCCACAGAATGTGATTGCCAACGCTTTGAGCAACATTGATAGAGCAGCTGTTCAACAAAGCCTTGGAGTCACTGCTGATGATATTGAGAGCATTTTGCCGGCAACCGCTGGACAGCTATACATGTTCTCACTTTGGCAAAAGACAGGTGGTGAGCTCTTCTACCCGACATTCAAATACCACGTCAGGACGCAGAAGTCAGTCGATGACCTCCGCGAGGCTTGGAGGCAAGTTGTAGCCGAGACTGCTATTCTTCGGACACAATTCTGCGAAACGAAAGCGCCGGGCATGCCTGTCATCCAGATTGTGCACAGGACAGTCACGAATAACCTTCACCTGGACGATGTAATGCCAGCATCGCAACAACAGCCCTTCGCGCACCTGCTTGCAAAGCAGACTGACGATGGCTTCGACTTGCAGCTCCAGATTCACCACGCGCTGTACGATGCAGTGTCTTTGCCACTTTTGATGCAGCGTCTGGGCTCTTTCCTGGAAGGAGCCGCTCCTTCGAAGCCCGCCGTAGACTTTAGTGACTACCTGGCACTCGGCCTCAGCTCAGGATCATTGAAATTTAGTCAGCAGTTCTGGACAGAATACCTACAAGGCACCCAACAAGCAAAGCTCCGGAAGCCCAACGAACATGCAACGAAGAAGGTCCAAATCTTCAAGCCTGCAGCTTTCGCTTCCTGTGGCGATCTGGAACGTCAGGCGAGAAGCGCGGGCGTCTCTACACAGGCTCTGTTCTTCGCCGCTTACGCCAAGGTCTACAGCAAGCACGCTGTACAGAGCGGAAAAGACACGACTGACGTGGTGATTGGCATTTACATTGCCAATCGCACGCACCTACCAGAGCTTGACCAACTTGCAGCACCAACGTTGAATCTTCTGCCGCTGCGAGTGAAAGCACCCGCAAAGTCCAGCATTCTCGACAGCGCGAAGCAGATCGACCAAGATCTGCGCCAGATCACCACAGCTGCAAACTCGTCTGCGAGCTTGGCAGAGATTTACCGCTGGACTGGGGTGAAGATTGACACGTTCGTCAACTTCCTGAAGATGCCCGAACAAGATGAGCAGGTTACGGGCGACAATGCCATCACTGATGCCAACGATGAGTGGAACGAAGAAGTGGCGCGTGTGCATGAGCCACAGAAACCGGAGTCGTTCGAAGTGCCGCCAGAGCTGCGGGTATTCGAGGTGAATGAAGCATATCAGCATGCTGTGGATGTCGAGCTCGCGGTGAAGGATAGCAAGCTGAGTATCGGCATTTTCTGCTTGGAGGACATGATGGGCTTGGATGAGGCCATTGGCATGACGGGAGAGTTTGTTGGAGAGCTGCAACAGCTAACAGCCCAGCATTGAAAGGAGTTTGAAATTGCATTTCTAGGAGTTGGGCATGCTGCGCGAAGCGAATAAAGGCATGCTAGATCGGTTTGAAAGATACCTATAGAGGACAGTATAGTCTGCTGCGGTCGTAGCAGTGTAATGCAAATTTTGAAATTTGTTTGTCGATCCAGCGAGCAAGAATGTGAAAGCAACTGCGTCGAAGTCTCTAGCAGTAGGAGGGAAGACTTCGGCATCAACTACGAGGCCCGCTCAATTTTGGTGATGGCTGATAGAGCTGACTGACGCGATAGGCTGTGGCGTTGAGGGTGAAATTGCACGTGGGAGTTGCCGTGCATCGCTCGAAATAGATTGAAAGCACCTGCATGATGGAATCATCGACTTTCCGCAAAAATATGAGCATCACCGCCGACGTGCATAGAAAAAGGTGATGCAAAGCGCGTCGGCGAGTAAGAAGCGCGCAGTGGTACAGGGAAGGGAAATGTTGATGGAGCAGAGGTACGCGTCAAGTTTCACTCTCCTGCTGTCCGTAGCTTGTTTCAGCTCTGATTCCCGCTCGCACGGACCAATCCCCGACAAGGAGGCCCATGCTCCACCAGGGTTCACGGCCTTGAGCCTCCTTTTTCATGTTTTCCATTGAACCTCACCTGAGCTGCCAGCATCTATATTCCACCGACAACACGATCACAGCATCGCGAAATGTCTTCCAAGAACGACATCAGGATGTCCGGCGACGACGACCGCAAGCTCGAGGGCGGCGAGGCTCAAGCGCCTCCGCCTGCCAAGCCGGAGGCCCCAAAGAATGACCTCCACCCGGCCTTCTATATCGCGTATGCGGGTACCAAGACAAAGCAAGAACATCAAGAAACGCTTCTAATGCTTCATCAGACTCTGGATCGCGCTGTCCGGAAGTGTCATTCTCTTCAACAAATGGGTCCTGAGCACGGCCAAGTTCGGTACGAAACAGCTGAGAGCTGGCAGCTTGACAGCTCTATCTCACTGACATGCACTAGAATTTCCTCTCTTCTTGACAACATGGCACATGGCGTTCGCTACAGTAGTCACACAACTACTCGCCAAGTTCACAACTGTCCTCGATTCACGACACAAAGTGCCCATGACCCGTGAGACTTACACGAGAGCTATCTTGCCTATCGGCCTGTTCTTCAGCTTCAGCTTGATCTGCGGGAATTTTGCCTACCTTTACTTGAGTGTCTCTTTCATTCAGATGCTGAAGGTAAATCAAGCGGTCTACATTTGAGTTGACCAAAGCTGACATCTCAGGCTTCCAATGCCATCGCCACTCTGCTCGCCACATGGGCTTTCGGCATCTCTCCACCAGACATGAAGAAGCTCGCCAACGTTTCTGCTATCATGGTTGGTGTTGTGATTGCCTCATACGGCGAGATCAAATTCGTCATGGTTGGCTTCATCAGTATGTTTGGCAGCTGAACATCAGCTCTATGCTTGGTTACTGACTTGGTATTCTAGTTCAAATGGCTGGCATCATCTTCGAAGCAATCCGCCTTGTCATGGTTCAGCGCATCTTGTCTGCACCTGAATTCAAGATGGACCCGCTGGTCTCGCTTTACTATTACGCGCCAGCGTGCGCTGTGATCAACGGCCTCTTCACACTCTTTATCGAACTTCCAAAGATGGGCATGAGCGATATCTACAACGTGGGCGTGTTCGTTCTCATCGCCAACGCTGCAGTCGCTTTCGGCTTGAACGTCTCAGTCGTCTTCTTGGTAAGTCAAAATCTGCACTCTTATTTTGCGCTTGCTAATATGAGTAGATTGGCAAAACGTCTGCCGTCGTCCTCACACTCGCTGGTGTCCTCAAGGACATTCTTTTGGTTGTCGCATCAATGGTCATCTTCCGGGACCCGGTCGCTCCTCTGCAATTCTTCGGCTACTCTATCGCTCTTGGCGGCCTTGTCTGGTACAAGCTCGGCCCAGACGGAGTCAAGAATGGCCTTCGCGATTCCCAGCTCGCATTTGCGCAAATGCGTCAAAACAATCCTGCACGCGCCAAGGGATTGGTACTCGCAGCAACCATTATCGGTGCTTTCCTGGTGGTCTACACCTTTTTCCCGTCCCTTGTAGGACTTGATGCGCCAAAGACTCCTTTTACCGGTTGATTTGATGCATCAAATTCTTCAATCCTTCGATTGCTGGCTGTTAGAACAGCATGAATTGGTGCACTAGAGCTCATGCATGGCATGCATCTATCACTTTGGGTCGGATCACGGTGATAACGATTTTCGGATGACGACACATGCACTACACAGTGACTGCTCCCGCGGTCGCACATCATGATGCCGACACCCTCCAGTACTGCACGTACCCGTCTTGTTGGAGCAGAGCAAGTGCGGCCAAGGCTCCATATTCGTACTTCGTTGGACACGCAACACCCACGGGATCAGCGGCAACGTTCACGAGAAGCACAGTACACTCTATTGCTCATGGCATTTGGACAGCCGATTCACCAAGGCAAGCGGCAAATGCCATTTCATTCATGTTCACAACTTTTTCTAGGCTATTTCCTAGTCCAGAGCGCAGGCGCAGAACCACATAATACTTTGTACAACATGTAAAAGCATTTACAGCGGAATGAGACTTCAGTACAACGCCGATCATACGCTGTGCCGTCGTAACATCCGCTTCTGCAGGTCGAATCCATGAGCCCGCCAGCAGACTTCCATGTTGACCTGAAATGTCTCGAGATCCTATGCAGCCACCAGGGTCAATTGCGGCAGAGACAGACGCCGCGCTGGGCTTGTCTCAAATCAAGCAGCTCGTAACCTCTGACAACCTCCGACAAGAATCTTTATCCCATGCACGCCAACAAAGGACTTTTATCGTTCATTGTCCAACTGCACGCTCGCTCTCCCTGGCCACTCGATGCTCCATCGCCATCTCTCATCACGCTCCCCGCCTTCCCAAAGCATATCCGCCCCCTTCAAGCTCTCTTTCGCAGATGTGCACATCGCCGGTATCCCTCCTCCGATAAAACCTCCCTGGATCGGCCGCAGTAAAGCTGTTCATCGACGTATGTCTCTTCAATGCAATCCGAAGGAGCCCTGAGCTTTGCCGTTCCTCGTCCCGCTGGACGAGCTTTTGTGTTTTGTATTCATGTCGGGCCTTGCGCGACTTTTTGAGACGCGCGAGAAGGCTTTGGAGATTGTGCTTGGATTTGGGCATTTTTTTCACATCGTAGTAGGATGGCGACAGTGGAAATGGCGTTGCAAGGTTTGTGAGAAGAGATATGCACTCGAGATCTTAGATGGAGATCGAACTTTGTATGCTTGGAAGATTCTTGGATGCGCCTGTGAATGGCTGGTCCGCTCCAGACAATGCCATTGTTCTATACACGCAGTGTTTCAGCGTAGTGAATGTTGCTTCGGCACATTGGGTGCTTCTCGCACTGTGGTATTGTGCTCAAATAGTGTGCTTCCGCCGAGGCACTGTTCACCATGATGTTACTCGTAGTTTGTGATTCGTTGTATGTGCTGCAACCTGCTCGTCGCGTCGGGCTTGTGTCCACCTCTAGCCTGTTTCGGCTTCACCGATGCTGAGCACGGTGTTTCGGGCAAGGAACGAATTCGCCGAGCTGCAAACATTTGTCGCAACTACAAAGTTGGTGGTTCTGGTACAAAGTAGACCACATAATCAGTATTGCCGCATCTACTCATTCAAAATATCATGAGTCTGTCCTGGTGCTGTCAAGAGAGATTAGTGCATTGTTGCGCTTTTTAGCCGTTTGGAGTCATGCACTATCCGAAAGTTCGAAAGGAATACAATTGCACATCAATAGTAACTCTTTGATCTCTCAAGTTTTGACTGCTATGAACGATCGACATAGGCTGGCCCTGAACGTTATGACTCCAGAAACTCAAATGTTTGTTGAATAACGGCTTCTAAGCACAGTCGAGAACATTATGTTTCCATATGTTGGGAACGCTCCCAAATATGTGTGAACTATCTGTGTCATCCCGTCAGATCACCTTTTGATCTCATTGTCATCACTGGAAGTGTGCAGCAAAACAGGAGGAAAAATGAGCCGCAGTTGAATGCGGACTATGTACCAACGAGAGCTCTTCTAAAAGTCGTTCGCCTGGATAACTAAGAGCCTTCAACTTCATCCTCACGCTTGTACTTATCACCAGTGGCTTCCTTGTCGTTCGTATAGAACGACACGTAGCCGCCGTCACTCGCCCATTGATAGCTTTCTTTGTCATTCTCGCGCTTGGCCTTCTCAGCAATGGCTTTCTTGTCTTTCGCGTAGAATGAGACATAGCCACCGTCGCTCGCCCATTGATAGCTTTCTTCGTTGGCCTTGACGGCTTTGCCATTCTTTGCCTCTTCAGGCATAGCTTGTAGCTGGTCAGTGGCTTTTCTGTGTATATCGACCGTATCCATCCGTACCAAGTGGATGTGCCTGAGCGACGAAGGCGACCAAAGGGATGAGATATATTATTTGCATCTTCTATTGTTGTCTCGGGGAAGTTTCTGAGAAAACGATATGGCAGTTGTGTGAGACTTGAATCGATTGCTGGTCTGTCAAGCCTTTCGAATAACTGCCGCTACCTTCGACTTTGTACGTTTTGCTCCTACCACTGTCAAGACTTGAGCTCTAAGAGCACCATGTATGGACCACTGCCAAGTGAATTGTTGATCATGGGTAGCTGGGCACACGTGTGATCTGCTAAACTTCCGATTGGGTGAATGCCAAGACGTGGCCAGACACTCGACTGACCTCGCGGCGGCGAGGAGGGGTTAATGATGAACATAGGATCTATGCGTCAAGGGAGAGACCTCTCCGCGCCCATTCAGACGATTCAGCTGAAAAGATCATTGTGCAATCGGCCCGTGCTTGAAGGAATAAGTGCTCAACGACCCTGGTAACAGGGATGCCCATGTGAGAGTATGCACAGAGAAGTGAAGAAGATATTCCAGCAATGAGGACAGAGCAGCTTGATTCGTAGTAGTTCCCAGATTGGCATAACATGAATCGAGAGTTCGACTTACCCTGGAGGTCATTATTTGCAGGTGCTTCAAATTTGGGATCTCATTGGTGCATTGCGTTGAGGTTCGTAGGAGGCAGCATAGATGGCCATGACGCCGGTGAGCTAGTCTATATACCCTAACGATCATGGCTCATGCATTGGGGCTCACCTCTGGGTTGCTCAATGCTGCAGACCCGTCTGTCATACGGCCAAATCAGTCCAAGCTGCATCCAGGGGCGATCAAGCAGGTATGCTATGCGGCACGACTCAGACTCTGATCCTCGCATGCAGGCCTACGACTACAACTGATGATGGTTGGGTCGGTGTACGATCTTGTTGTCGTACGTACTCCAAATGTATCACGTTTGGCTATTTGGAGAGCCCTCTGTGTTAGCTCGATCGATCGTTTGAACCACGCGCTCAATAGTCTAGAACCGTCTTGCGGTCTGCACATATCGACAAGACATGCCAACACTACCTTGTCCTTGCTGATACACTCCTATGCTTCTAAACGAGTGCTCACACCATCCCTAGGATATCTCTCGCACGTGGGTCGGTATCTGTAGGGTCTTTGAGAGCTTGCATACTCGACAGTCGAGACCAGTCGCCTAACTTGACCATGAGTTGACTTAGTGTTTAATCCGTGTGGAACCCAACCCTTTCCAGCTGCACACCGTTGCAGAAGCAATGAAGTTCCAGGCTCCCCTACGTACGCGAACCTGGGATCCAGCAGGTACTCGCTTGACAATGTTGGTGTTATACTCCCCGCCTGATAACCTACAACTGCGGAGACCTGGATTGAACAGGTCAGATTCTCCGTGAATGCTTCATGCATGATCCTCGGTTGAGATCCAGCCAATTGCCACTTCTGGGCAGCTGTTCGATAGAGTAGAGCTTTTTCTCAATCTAGGGCTCTGTTTGGGTCAGGATAGAATGAACTCAAGTATCGATTTATCTTTCGGCACGGAAAAGGTGCTGAATAACACTTCCATGGCCTGTCCCTCAGAGTCACTCTCAGCAACGTGATCGCAAGTAATTGACCGCGATCACTACAAGTCTTGCGCCAAAACGTACAGAACTGACATGGTATGAGACAGCGAGTTGAACAACTTATGTAAACACAGGATGCTGCAAAGCTCGATGGAACACTATGCAAGCGACCATCGTTGGGAAATCGTTTCCGCGCCGTGTGTGGGTGTCCCGCAGTCTTTGGGATCTGTCTCACGCAACAGCAGCCGCATGCTACACCAGGAGACCGATGCCCTGTTCGCCTGTCTCTCGATCATCATGATCGTGATCGTCATCCCACTCAGCGCCCACCGCATGCTCTCTTCCCCAAGCATGTATCTTCCAGAAGTTTCGACATGTATGCACGACATCGCCACGGATCTTCTCCTTCTTGTCAAAAGGACTCCACTGCCGTACAATGGGAGAGATGTCAGCGTGACACATCAAGGACTCGCGTACGGCTTCGAAGCAATGATAAATGTGACCCTTTCCTAGCAGCGCTGCAGAATGGAGATAGTGGCTATCGTTGGCTATTGCATGGCGGATGTGATCCTAGATATACAGACGTTCAGATTAATGCACAGCGGACGTGTACTCGATTGTGGCTACTGACCAAGCAGTGCAATTGATGGAAAACATCAATATCAACGTAGTAGAGATCCGGCCATTTCGGGGGAAGCGTCGAAGTTCGATTCGGAAGTTGTAAAGCTTGCTCTCTCAGAATTCCTTGCCCACCGCCAACTGCCATTATCAACGTGAGTCGTACATATTGCTAGATTCACTTTTAACGTTGGCGATGAACTACATACCGTTCCAAAGCTCTCTCCAGAGCCGGTTGTTGTCCGCGTTCGGCGGACCCCAATAGTCGGCATGCTCTGCAGTAGAGCTTTGAGAGAAGACGCGAACTTCATACTCGACGGCTTCTTGCGCGGGTGCTTTGTTTGGTTGGCATCTAAAGACGAGGAAATCTGAGCGAAGAGGACTCACAATAGGTCATTTGGCCACAGAACTTTGCGGCTTTCTGTGCCCTGAACGCCGCGTATTGATACATCAAAGCGATTGAGATTGCCCACAGCACGATAGCAACGATGTGTGCCACTAAGATCGTGAGGGACCACTCCTTATACCATCGATTGCTGCGAGTTTGTCGGAACGAGTAATGAATTGGCTCATTTCGAACGGACTGGTAAAGATAATTGTTCTTGCTTGCCATGCTGGCAAATTGCGTTCCGCGGAATCTTGCGATAGTTCGTCTCAGATGACACGAGAGATAGTGACTGCAATGTTGATTGAGGAACGAACTACGGAGGTGCTAGAAACTACATGGAAGTACTCGCTCGAGTGAATGCCAAGAGTGAACGGACGACTGCCTAAGGCATACCCCATGCATTAAGTCACCCCCTAGGCGGCTGTTCGCTACGCCTAATACTATAAACATACTATAAACATGGCCTCTGATTTGGCTGCTAGCTTAGATAGTACTATAAGCCGTTCTAGCTTTTAGAAACTCTAAAAATACGATAAAACTCTTACGGCTAATAAGAGAGTTTAAAATACCTCTTAATATTTAACTATTAGTACTACGCTGCCTTCTTAAGACTAGCTTGCTACTAAATAAATATAGTATAGTCGGTAAGTTCGAGCTATTCGATAAAAGCCTTAAACTTAATCTTATTAAGAGCCTTAGTAAGGCCGTTAGTCTTCTAATTCTTAGTAGAAATCTACTTAACTTTAATTTAGCTATTCTTAATAGCCTCGTAGATAAAGTAGTAACGAACGTTAATATACTTAGTTCGAGAGTTCGATTTACTATTACTACTAATCTTAATAGCTAGCTCGTTATCTTCGAATAGTATAATAGGCTCGATAGGCCTCTTATATTAGAGGTTATAGAGTAAGTATATAATAGTAATAGCCTCTTTAGCTATCTACGATAATACGATATATTCTACTTCTATTAATAATATAGTAATAATAGACTACTTACTAGACTTCTATATAAATAGTATATTTACTAGAAAGAAGATATAGCTACTAGTTAACTTCCTATCGTCTAAACTATCTACCTACGCTATATTAATATAACCTTCTAACTAGAAGTTATATATATTAGCGTTAAGGCTCTTAACTTTAAGGCTAATATTATAGGTATTAGTACTAACTAGGTATCTAAGAACGCAGAACGTAGTATCGTAGTAACCTTATATTAGATTAGTAAGGAATCGATATAGCAAACTAATATAGTATACTATCTTAATATAAGTATTTATAGCGAGCTAGAGGTATTCGCTAACTAGCTTCTAATATACTTCCTTAATTAATACTATAGTAGTATAGCCGTCTAGAGCCTTCTTATAATAGTAACGAGCCTCTATTAGTATCGCTAGCGCGGGCTCGTTAATTCTATAGCTATCTACTAGCTTCTTAGTATATACGTCTTAAACGATATAGATAGTTTGCTTCTTCTTATCGCGAATAATATATATATCGAGATAGTAATAGAGGTTACCGAGTTCTTTTATCTTAAATTTATCCTTTAGCTACGCTACTACCTCGTTAATCTTACTATAGGTAGACGTAATAATTAATATATTATCGATATAGATAATAATCTAGTAACGCTTATCGATATACTAGAAGATATTAAATTATATCG